GAGAAACTGTCACTTATATTGCCAGAATATTTTCTAGGAAATATCAGGAACCCCAATACCCATTAAGCAGTCATTTGCACCTATTTCCCTTAGTCTTGAGCAATCACTAACTAGCTTTCTGTTTGTGTGAATTGGCCTGTTCAGAACATTTTACATAGTAGAACAAGACAATAAGTAGCTTTTTCTGACTGTTCTTCTTGCACTTAGCAAAATGTTTGCAGTTTCTTCCATGTTCTTAGTATTTAATTCCTTTATGGCCTAATAATATTCCATTACATGGATATCCTACTTTTTCTTTATCTATTCATCATTTGACGTACATTTGGGTTGTTTTCACCTTTGGCTATTGTGAAGAGTGTCATGAAAAGCATCATGGACAATTGTTTACTGAAACACCTGTTTTCAATTCTGTTGGCTAAATAGCCAAGAATAGTATTGCTGGTTCATATGGAAATTCTAAATTTAACTGATTGAGAATCTGCCAAGCCCCTTTCTACAGTGGCTGCACCATTTTACATTACTACCAACAATGCAAGAGGATTTCAATTTCTCCACATTCTCGCCTCCAGCATCAACTTTTGACTTGCAGAATGAGTTTTATTATAACAACTGGGGGAAATACCTGAATTATTTAGGCTTCATTTATTTAATGAGACCATATTAAAGCAAGAACTGGAAACTTGTGAGCATTTTAATGCAAAATACATCACAGAATTTGAGATACACGGAAAGCAAAGGTTGTTTAACATGTAGGAATAAATTTGATCATTAGTTCATATCTATGGACCATATAAATGACAAGATCATAAAATCTGCGGAGCTTCTTGTGGGAAGACTGTGGCCAATGATATGATTCATTTGGCATATTTTTCTATAAAAAATGTACAATAGCCCATCTCAGTGACATCTGGACTTATCTGCATAAAATGAGTGTTTAGGGTCATATTATTATTTCATGTTCTATACTTCATCTGATCTATAAAAACATGGACACAGTATGGTTAGCAGTTATTCTTATTCTGAAAACATTAAAAAAATTTATGTGTAACCTTCTAGTTTTGCTAATGATACAAAATGTTGAAACTATTTTCTTTCTTCTGCCAACCCATGAAAGTACCACACTTATCTGAAATCCAAATAAGTACTCATCAGTATACAGTGAATATCAGTATACAATATGCACTTTATATATACATACATGCCTGCTATAGAACTATATGTTACTTTAAAATAACATGAAATAAAGCTAACAACACTTTACATTCAGGTCCACCAATCAAAGAAACTTATTTTGTATGACTCAATAACCCTACTCAGCTAGGTAAGAAAGCATATACACATCGTTCTTCATTTTGTAATCTATCATTCATTTTATGAACAGTGTTCTCCATTTGCAGTTTTATAAACTGAACATGGAACAACTTGAATGACACCTGATTCCAGGATGATAAAGCGGTGGAAGAGACAAAGTATAGTGAAGTTGAATTTTTCCTTTATTTGTTTTCCTTTTGAAAAAAAATACTTATTCAAGTGTACATAACTACTATATTTAGAGCTAGAAATATTGATGACGTGGAAAAAGCACTATTGGAACTCATGAGATATTAATTGCCTAAAATAATCTGTTGCTACCTAAAAAAAACTATCTCTAAGCTAAGTAATACAAAGGAATACCTTCTATGCTCAAAGTACAATGATTCAGGACTCTGGGTAGTACAATGGGGAGGTTATTCTCTGCTCAGAGTGACTGTGGCTCTATCTGGGATGACTGGAGTGGGAGAGAAAGAGGGCTAAAATCTTGAATCTGAGATGTGGTTTGTGGCAAGATCTCTGCAGCATGTCTTCTGGGATTGCGATAGTCAAGGTGACTTCTTCACTCAAACATCTGGAACCTGAGCTGACTGGATGATTGGGAGAATGGAGGCTGACTGGGCATATCTCTTTCTTTCTTCACATGGTTTATGCATGTGGCTTTCCCTAAGTATGGTAATCTGGGGATAATCAGAATTTCTTATTTGACTGCTGACTTCTTCCAGAGCACATATTCCAAGTTATGAGTAGATGGTTTCTTATGACTCAGCTTTAAAAATCCCAGGACATTTAGGACATTCATGTAGATTTTCTTTTTCCTCTTGACATCGGTCAACTCTGTCACTAAGGCCAGTAAGATTCAATAGAATTAAAAATCCCAAATTTAAGATAATCTTTAATCTACTACAAAGGGAGGCAGACATTAAAGTAATTATTGCATAAATAACTACTGCAATGAAGGGAAGTACAGACTTCTTTACAGCAATCAGGACTTCTTGATTACAGAAGACAGAACCCCAACCCAGATGGACAAATTGAAAGAAGGGTATTTACCGACTCTCTTAATTGAGAAGTCTGTGGTTGAATGCTGATCATGTAAGGGCTTGGTCAAGAATCTCTTTTCTTCTCTGTAAGCAATATTTGCCTCTTCGATTTGGTTGATTTTATTCTCAGGCAGTGCTTCCTCAAATGACAATATCAAAGACCACCAGCTGTTATGAAATTTTCATCAGTGTAAAAAAATCTTAACTGAAAGAGACAATTAATCATACTTTAAGTTAACCATATTTAGCAGTAGTTCTGGGATTAAGCCGTACTCATCATGTTTGGGATACATGTCCTCTTCTGTGAAACCTCTGCTGCCAGGTTGTAAAATGGTTGAATCGGACAGTTCTGGACTCTGTGCCCACCCCCAGGGCCTGGGAATGGGTTACTTTTACCATAAAAACAAGAGGGTTTTGGATTTTTCCACAAACCAGAAGTAGAGAAGTGGAAATAGAGGGGTACCAAATGAATATATAACCCTGTTATATAAGTCTAACATAGGCAACCTGTTGTGGAGCTTAGATCCATATATACTATTTCCAAATGACTTTGGGGGAAAAGGAATGCTTCATGGATATTATATCCACATGCTTGAAAGTAGGGGAGAAGAAAGCTTGATGATGGTAGAAAAGGTGTCCTGAGCTATCCAGAAGTTGGTCTGGATCCCAGGTTGATCCCTGAATGCCTCTTTGTTTCCCTTATACTTCTCCTATAGTTTCCACTTATAGTTTCCCTTGTAGTTCAGTGGGCGCAAACCTTCTTGTTAAGATAGAGAGAATATATACACAGGATTTATAAATTCAGTGTCACTCCAAAGAGCCAGACCCTCTGAAGTCTCTGCCATTCTACCTTGACTGATGAACATGCAAATAATTGATTGCCCTGTGAGCTCTCTTAGAACTGTTTAATTTATGGCTTCTCCATAATTGTTTACTATTGGATTTTTCCCTTTCAGGACATTCATATAGATTTTCATTCTACCCATATAATGGATTGAAAGTAAGCCAATGTTTCAAAGAAATCCCTAAACAGATTTTTGGAGATTTTTGCATAATTCCTTCCCCTTCAGTATTCTGGCAAATTTTAACTGACTCAGCCTTTCTGATCTAATCACCAATTAGGAAGAATGAAGAACTCTTTGGGAACACCTCTTCTCTGTGCTGAAATCTAGACATCACTTCCTTGCAGAATGCCTGGTGCTAAGATTGAATTTATTTGGTTTGTGGACCACACCTGCTGGCTGTGCTCCTGGCTTACTCCTGCTTTTGTGGTCAAGGATCACTTCTGGTTTTCATCAAAAGACAGTATGTGGTGTCTGGGATGAGGCCTAATCAGCCACATGCCTTGCCTGCTGAACTATACCTCCATTCTATTTTTCCCCCCTGTAGAATCATAATACTACAAAAATCCCTCATTCCCATAATCTGCATACAAATCAGTTTGTATGACACTTTCTCATTTTTAGTTATTTGTAGCAAGCAGACAATCTGAATTCTTGCTCTTTCTCATGGTCAGAGGCAGAAGTCCTCAGTTATTTGGTTGCATATTTATTTTCTTGATGGTAATAAATTTTTTACTCTTACATATATATAGCTAGTATAGTGACTTTGGGCTGGAGCGATAGCACAGCGGGTAGGGCGTTTGCCTTACAAGCGGCCAACATGGCCGACCCGAGTTCGATTCCTCCACCCCTCTCGGAGAGCCCGGCAAGCTACCGAGAGTATTCGATATGCCAGACACAGTAACAACAAAGTCTCCAATGGAGACGTTACTGGGCCCGCTCGAGCAAATCGACGATCAACGGGAGGGCCTTTTGGCCTTTACCTTTTTATAGTGACTTTGCAGAAACTTTCTAGAGTTTGCTTATTTTTGATTTGCAAATGCATATTTTTCTTAAAATTAGAGAAATCCTCTAAGGAAAGAAATTTTAATTCAAGGAATGTAAGGAAATCAATTCAACAATATTTATTGAACCAGTTCTACTTGCTACACTATTCTAGTTAGTAGTTACTATACTAGTTATAATTGTAAAATCTCTGTTCTCACTAAGAGCACTTGGTTGAGAAAGTAGACACTAAAATAAGTGAAATGCTGATATCAATGACATGTCAGATGGCAAATGTTATGTGAATCATAGAGAAAAAATAATCCTTCTAGCACACATGTGCCAATGATTGGAAACACGGCTTCTGTCTCTTCATAAACCTTAATAAGAGGCCATCTGTTTAGAGACAAAATAGCCAACTATATTACCATAAATATAAACCTAATCCAGGGCTGGCCTCTCATGCCTTGTTAATGGCTTTAATTTACACTATGACAAAGTCATCTTCAGGGTAGTATTTGTTACCTTATTTCTTTCCAGACTCCCAGATGGGAGTGAATGCTCCATGAGGGCTGGCATCACAGTTGGTTTTGCTCATGATTTTGTCCCAAAGTACTTTAGAAAGACTTGACATTAGAGAGAATTCAACAAGTATGTTACCTGTCTTGCACATGTTGCATATATTGAAGAGATGTATGGTCATCTTGGTTCCTTGATACCTGCTTGGTTCATACCTTGTATGTGCTCTCTCATGAGAATTCTAGCCAGTTTCTCAGTTACCTGTTATGATTTTATTTTCCTTCTTTCTCTTTCTTTGCAGCTGTGCAATCACTGCATACCCTAAATGACCAGATATCTCATTTTATTGTCACCAAGTCGAAGGCCCTCGAGGAAGACAAAGATCCTTTTCTACCTTCTGAGAAGGAGACTTTGAAGAGTTCCATGATATTGATGAGGCATCTCTTAATGGATGCTCAGGTACAGAGATGACTATTGAAATTATATATATATGTAGACTACAATATTCTCTTTTGCTTTCTTTTTTAATCGACACTAGAGTTGTGGTTCAACTACCACCCCATTAATAAATTGCCATGCTGATACACAATTGTGTCAAAGACATTCTAATAAACTGGGTAGTGGATTTCTGATTAGTTATTATTTGGGATTTTATATTGAAACAGCTTGTTTTTGAGTCAAAGTAATGGGGCTTAAGAATAATATATGTGTTGTCTCTGAGGATTAACAGATCTCCCATTAGCCTCGAAAAGTGAGCCATTTGCATACAAATTTGGCAGGCATCAGAGCTGGCAGAGGCTTTGGAGCAGAGCAATACTTATCCCAAATAGCATCGCTGAGTAACTAATGAATATTTTGGTACATTTGATGCACCACCAAGTAAGCGAATCAGCACTTTAAAAAAATGCTAGCAATGAATTAATTACAGAAGGTAGTTAGCTCAATGCATGTTATTGTTGAGATGTTATTCTTCAAGGTTTCTCCTTGTGCACTATTTGATTGAAATATTCTCAAATAATCTAATCCTTCTGCCCCTGTTGGTGGGTCTCTCCAGATATGTTGCTAGGTATTTAAAAACACCGGGTGTTTTTAAGAGAGGTAATACTTCACGGATGTGAGTTAAGCCAAACTCAACTAGATTTCATTGTCATTCCTACATCTTTGGGATCTGTTTAAAGCGTTTGGGGTTTGATGATTTTGTGTTAGTTTTCCCTGGAGCTTTCCTCCTGAGCTTGTTTTCTGTTCTACAGCAGAGAGGTCAAATGGTTGTCAGTTTCCTGGGTTGTGCAGTGTATCCGATTTTGAACTCTGGTGTCGATTTTGAACTGCGGTGCTGCAGCTTTAGTTTCTACCATGGTGGTGTTTTATGTTTTATTTTTTAAATCAATCCTGAAATCTGGATCTTGTACCAATAAGACTTTAACTGCAAGGGCTTTGTGAATTTCTCACCTGTCAATGTTTGAAGCCTTCCCAAAAGGTTTTTGTGCCCCTCTACTGAGATGGCCTGCATTATGCAAAGCCTTCCTTTGTTACTCACCATTCTCCTTCCCCTCCCCCCCCTTTTTAAGGGCTGCCCATTCAGCTTCATTTTCTCTGAACCTGTCTAGTGGAGAATGGAAGCTACAAGGGCCAATTTTAAAACTCAGAGGGAAAAAAAGGGGTGGATAGATTTAGAACAATTTACTAAATAAAAGAAAGCAAATTGTTCTTGAAAAGGCCAGCTTTCCTCAAGGCCTGAACTCAATCCTATAGCTAACACCGCAGTCAAGGGAACTATCTAAGTGAATCTAGAAAGATACTCTGCAAATCGAAGGGTATAAAAACCAATCCATCTTCCCCTCTCCTTCACGTGTTAGTTTATATATGCGTAGAACTAGATTTCAAAAATGTTTGATGTTACTGATGACATACTTTTCTCATCCTAAATGCTGAAATCACTCAACAACATTTGTTCTTAGTGGTGTTGATTAAAATGTCTCTGTTGTTTTCTTTTTAATTGAATGGGATAAAATATTATATAATGAGGTTTTTGTGTATGAGTATTTTATTATCTCATTCTCCCCTATCCCAAATCAATGCTTGCCAGAATGCTCTCACTTAGTTACTGGATGAAAGGGATGAGGCTATTGGTGGGCATATCCTCATCCTTGTCATATATTTTAAAAGGAAGGTGGGTTGGGATTTCTTTGTGGTAGGTAACTGGGGAAAGATCATGGCTGATCATAAAATTCAGACAGGAAGGAATTGTTCTGGGTTGAAACTACTCTTTTTTGCCTCCCATTGTTCACAGATTCCACAACCTTATCTTGCAGATGAATATAGAATAAGGTGGGTTGTGATTAGTTTAGTCTAAAAATACCACTCTCATTTATTTTCTTCTGAATCCACCGAGTTTGTGAAATGTTATTTGTAATTATGAGTCTAGGTCCATGGCTGAAGTCAATTAGAATTGTGTTACCTAACACCAAAGGCTCAGAGCATCTCTGAAATACAATCTCTATAAAATTAGTATTGTGAAGCTTAAAATGCAAAGGAACCCTATATTGGGGGCAGGGGGTGGCCAGAGGCATCATGTGGTTTTTATTTAATATAAGTATCTAGAACTATGTTCATTTTAATGAACTTTATAAAGAGCTTCTGGAAATTTGGTTATTTCCCAAGTATGTTTTTTGACTCTGGTTCTGACCTCAATTCTAAAGATGAATGAGTGTGCTTACCTCATATTTTAAGATCATCAGTTATGGGAGGTCGACAGAATATAAATATAACTTCCATGTACTTCCTTTGATTTAGGCTGAATTTTAGGATCTTGATAGACGTCTGATAGGATTATGTGTTGTAGAGTAAGCTGTTCAAGGGTAGTAACCACAACCCTTAACTTGGTTGGTATTATTATTATAGTCTTCTCAGTCCCATACACAAAAGACTTTTAATAGTATTGGATTATGATGAAATACTCTGACATCAGCTTGCAAGTTGAATGAAGTCAAGCAAAAAGTATTCCAGAAAACCTGGAGGCTGCTTGGAGAGTGACTGTTTAAAAGGCATAATCGATTCAAGTCACATCTGTCTTGGAAGCAATAAATCCTGCTTAGGAGAATGTCAAAGGCAAAAGCAGTGCTGGGCTATGAAATTCCACCTCTGAGGATTATAAAACAGTATGCACAGAGCAAACACATCTTCCAAGTATAATAGGGGTGCCAGAGATGATTGGCAGGCCTGACAATCCATCCCAGAGAATGGAATCAGGAAGAAACATCTTACATGGACAGCCCAGAAGGCCTAAGATTATTTATTCATTCCCCAAATGTTGCCAGCATGGGGGCATCTGAACACTGCTGCAGAGCACCTCTATTTGCATCCCATTCCCTTTGTAGTCCAGGGCCCCCAAATTCAATGAAGTATACCATTCAGACTGCATTTGAAACCTGATCTTGTGACTTTTATTCCCGAGAGCTATATCTAAACGCAAACTGCCGACTCAGCCTCATAAGCAATTAGATTCATAACACCGAAGAGGCATTTCTTTCTGGTACAGATTAATTCTTTTACCCGTACTGTGTGACTCTGCATGCTAAGAGGGGTTGATTGAAGCAAATTAAATCTCCTATTGGCAGTTCTCTCCTTCTTTCCCCCTAAGACCTAATATCATTATTTATTAAGGTTGAACAAATGCTTGGGAAAACAATAAGATCACTTTGTTGGCAGTCAAGACCTCCTCTGGAGACTCCGTACTAAAAGGCAGTGACTTTCCACTTGCTGTGGAGGGCTCCTTCTACTGGCCATGGAATAAACAGTATCCTAGGATAGGCCTGTGTTCCAGGCTGAGTAGCTAGTGGGGCTCCTCTTTCTAAAACCTGGCTGCCAAGATTGAAAGAGAGGACTTGTTTTAGGAGGCTAGTTCCATATCTAGAAATAAAACATGAAAGTATTTAAAACATAAACCACACAATGTGGTTAGGGACCGGGCCACTCCCTTATGTGCTCAGGTGCTATTCCTGGTCTGGTGCTGAGGATGGACCATATGTGATGCTGGGATTCAAACCAGTGTTGGTGGATCCTAAGGTACCTTCTGTGCTATCCTTGTGGTCCCAGTGATTATTTCTAAGCAAATCTCCCCTTAGAGACTGGCAAAAGTCAAATGTGAGGCAGAAGTGAATAAAATGGGCCTTATCCTTAAGGCTTTCCTTTCCTCCATTCTCTTCTTTTCATCTGTACTCCTTTGGCTTCCTTTTCTTTCTTCCTTTTCCTTTCCTTTCCCCCTCCTCCTGGCTCAACACCCCTCCTCTTTTCCATCCTGTGTTCTTCTTTCTCTTTCCTCCTCTCTCCTAATCTTCCTCCTCTTTTGCTTGGCAAAATAAATCCAAGTTGAGAAATAGAATGAAAATGTGCCCTTTAATTTCTCTTCCCTCCATTCCTCTTTTTTTGCTCATCAGTCTTTCTTTATGTTATTTGTGTTCAGGGAATTTGAAAGCATATTTGCCAGAGACCTATATTCCCCTGCCAAACAGGAAAGCAGCAGCAGGAGGCAAACCTGGCACTCAGGAGGCAGAGCGGGGACCCTGCCAGGATCAGAGACTCTGTGTGATTTGGGTAGCTTTGTTTTCTTTTTTCATCTTCATTTCTAGAAGGGTCTAGAAAACTCTTCTGCTTGATTATGCTTTCTGATTAAATGTTTGGCAAATTGGGCTGGTTGAGCATGAAGAGATTTGCTAGACATACTCATTCTCTAGCTGGCCTTGATTGGCTTTTTGAGCAAAGACTCCACCAGAGGAAATTTCGGGTCAAGGGCCTAAAAAGCAAAGAGGAGGGTGCACTTCTCACTTTTGATATCAATATCAATATAAGTTGGCAATCGGGTAATTGATACACATTCATTACCAAGGTAAACTTCAGGATGATGTCCCACTTTCCTTGCATTTTGCATATCTCCATGTACTTTCTAAAGTCAGCCTTTGCTCAGACTATGAACTGTAGCTATTACCACAATGATTATCTGGTGCTTTGGAGCTGTAGCTGGTTTCAAGTTCATGCATATGACCACAACCCCCTTGATAGCCTGAGAGAATGTTTTGTCATCTCACTGTATAAACCAGAAGAGTTCCTGACTCCTGAAGGTCACAAATACTGGTTCTGGGTATGAAAAACATCTCAAGTGTAGATTCTTAAAAATCTTTGAAGTGGAGGAAGGACTAGAACTCTCCCTAGGTCAGATAAGCAGAGATGAAACTTTGAAATTAGAATGAAGGTAAAACAAAATTTTTATCCTAACAAAATTACCCTGGGATATTTTTATGTCTGTTCTTACCATCAGATTTTTTTTTATTTCTTAAAGGTCGTAGAAAAAAACTTACTTAAATGGATGTTGAAGATTTTAGTTCACCTAACTAGAAAGCTACAATGGTAAGCTGATTATTCAAAGGCGCCTAAGCTCTTCGCCTCCAGTAATCCGTGTGCTC